GATAAATTAATCAATCATTGCACGCGTCCCACTTATATATAATAGTTGCCACCGACTATTTTACAAAATGGGTAGAAGCAAAGCCAATGCGATCAATTAATCAAAGTGCTATTATTCGATTTATCCAAAAAAATCATTTACGGGTTTGGTTTACCATAAATAATTATTGTTAATCAAGTCTTGGTATTTAATAAAGCCAAAATATAAGAGTTCATGTGAGAATTTGGTTTCAATATAATGAATTTGATGCCATATTGCACTCAAGCTAATAGAAAAGTTAAAGCATCAAATAAAGTCATTAAGAGGAATATCTAAAAAATGATCAATAATAATCCTCGAAGTTGGCATGAGTTGTTACAAAACACTTTATGGACTCATCGAATTGGTTTCAAACAAAGTATTAGGATAAGTTTGTATCGATTAATCTATGGACATGATGCAGTATTGCCATTTGAGATTGTGGCTCAATCTCTATGAGTGGCGAGATAAAATGAGATGTCCGAAATAGATTATACGGATGTTATGTTTATTAAACTAGAATCTCTCAATTTTGAAAGAATAGAGGTACTAAACACATTCATATTCAAAAATATAGAATGCCAAGTACTTATAATCGAAAAGTTAAAAAAAAAATTGATTGGAGATTTAGTTTGGAAAGTTATACTTCCCATTGAGAAAAAAGATGATCATGTCGATAAATGATCTCTTAATTATGAAAGTTTTTTTCGAATTCAAAAAATATTATGGGAATGTTTGTAAATCGAAAAGCTTATAGGGAATCAAGTATAATAGAGGTATTAATTATAAATATTTAAAACCATATTTTCCTTTAATTTGGGAAGCAAATAAAGAAGTTTTGGAATTTTAATTTTCGAATTATGGTCGATGTATAAAGAATCTTAGAGTTACGTTTAAAACTAGAAAATAACTAAGTAATTCAAAAAATACAATAAAAATAAATGCTTCTTTATTTGAATACATTAGAAATTTATTCTTTAGGTATTCTACTCTTAAGAATATCTAAAAAGATGACAAATGCTCGAACTAGGTTTGATCGATTGGGTCTTTATCGACAAGCAAAATCCGAGCTTCGACCATCTACTTAAGTCTTCACCGACTTGAGCAAATTTGGAATCTAAAATAGATATAGTAGCCTTCAACAACTCTAAATTTTATTCGGTTTCGTCGACCTCTTTGTCTAGTTAAGCTTTGTCATGCTCTAAATGCACTTGTTTTTTGTTCAAAGTTGTAACAGCTTTGATTGGGATCCTTCTCACAAAGATTTGCCTATTTTTTTCAAATGAGCCTTGCATTTCTTCTTCTTGTTTAGCTTAAGCAATGGTGCTCTTCGATGCTTCAAAAAAATCTTATTCACGATCATCCGGAGACAGAGTTTGGAAAAAATTAAAAAAATCAATGAACTCCATAGATGTAAACAATTAGGTTTCCATGATCCTCGGAGGGTTTGTTGTAATCATGTTAGACACGAACTAGATTTATTTATCTAAAGTCATGCTTGGTTGAACAAGAGCTTCTAGTGGTGTTCGCATTTTCAATAAAGAATTTAGTTCTAGATACACTTCCATTTCGAATTGTTAATTAAATCACTCGATAAACTCTCATATTCATTATCATTGTTATGGGAGCATAGATGGTGGGAACTAATTTCTTCGGTATGTTCTGCTGAAACTATTGTAGATGGTGGTTGATAAAGAATTAAGGTATTGGTTGGATTCCATGGAGCAAAAATTTCAGAATTCTCAATTTTCATAAATGAAACTTCAAGATTTTGTTGAGTTATAACCACTCGGAGTTTTGCTAACTAAAGTTTGTTTCAAATGCCTATCTATTAAGTCAACTATTAGAGTTTCATCTTTCAATTGATCCGGTATCAATTTTTTAATAGGCATTGATAGTTTTTCAAAAGGTAAAACTCGCACAAAGGAAAGAAGATAAACAATGATCAACATAAGTGAGTCAAAAATAGAATAAAAGAGGAATATGATCGAGAAGACTTATGTTGTACCAATATAAGTAAATGAGCCTTAACTCCTAGATTTTTCTCAAAAAGGAAAGTCAAAAAAGGCTATAGTATCTTATAAAGTATTTAGATAAAGTAACTTTATTGAAATTTAGGATAAAAATGATTTTCGAAAGAATATTAGTAAGACTTACTTGGTCTACTCCCGGCTTAGTCGGATGATGTATTCAAAGTACTAAGCCGGCTTCGGAGATCCTATACTTTGGTTCCGAAGTTTCACGAGGATTTTGTAAAGAGATGAAGTCCGTCAATGAAAGTCTTTTTTGATCTCTTTAGTTATGGTAGAAGCGATAATTATTTCAAATATCAATACTATAGGGATATCAATCTAGAAATTTTTAAAGTAAGAATCCTTATTGCTTCTAACAACATGAATTCCTCTTGTTCTTTCATAGATCGAGTCCTTACGATTAGGAAGTGTTATATAAAGTAGCTTCTTACCCCTCTACATTGAGGAATAAAGAGGAAAAGAAAGAGTATCTTTGGTTTGGTGGCTTGTTGAACCACCCTTCTAATTCAAAAGAGTCTCTTTAACTTGAGGGCCCATCGAACCAATCCTCTCGCCTTGAAGAAAAGAGAGGAAGAGAAGAAGTCTCTCCGATTTATAGACCGCTCAAACCAGTAGGTTTTAAAACCACTATTGCAATCCTTTTTATCGATCAACGTACTTTTGGGGATAGTCCTCTTTTCGTTGAGTCTTCTTTTGAAAAAAGAGGCAAGTTAAACTTCATTTTCTTTAAGTTATCTTTTTATGTTTTTGCTATTTGGAAGAAAGGAAGAACAAATTAGAAAATAGTTTATAAAATTCGAGAACGGCAAGAAAGGTGAAAGACTTATAAGCTTTTTCAAGAGTTCTAGCCTTGGACGATGGTGATCATTTTACTATCGATGTATTGCTAATATCATAGAATAGTTTCTATCTATTGGCCATAGGAAAGTTGTTTTTCCATAACATCAATCACATGCTAATAAAAAAAGTGGTCACACCGATATTTAGGTGATAACTCGTTAAGGTATTGTACTTTTCTCTAATTTCACGATTGATTGATGGTCGAGATTAATTGTCTTACCACCATTTAGATTAGTCCAAACCGACGAGGGCGAGTTTGGGGCTATAAGCTTCAACGAAACCATATCTCCAAGAGAGTAAGTCCGATCTTGACTTCCTAAAGCCGTACTTTATACTAATTATTCATAATAAAAAACCATATTTTATAGAGTAGTTTGTTTGAGTAAAACCACGAGTGGCCCATACCCGTACGCATGGAAGGGCATCCGGTCTTCTAATTTGTCTCGCCTATGTTTAAGGTCAAGAATGTACCTCAAAGCATTTGAGAGTGAGGGAGGATGAAATGGTGCGAAGGAGTGACCATAGCTATCCAAATCTTCTTTGACAAGATGAGGTCGACTCAAAATTGGTAGATAAAATCCTTCCTACATCTGAACAAACCAAAGAGGATAAGATATAATCTTGAGCCTTTAATTAATGCATCGAAAGTCCTAGATATGCATAGGTAAGAAAAAATGGACCTAAGGTTACTCTACTCGTTCCATTAAGTGAAGCCAAATTGATAATCAAAGTTAGAAAGGCTTTAATTGCTTTCTTTAACTTTGAACCAACAATGTGGTTATAGATCCACAAGAGGTAGAAGTTAATCTCTTCATCATAAGATACTTATGTCTTCTCTTCACATTGATCGACCGAGTGTCCATAAGCTTTACAATGCCCGTTTATGAAAAAATGAAAGAGGAATTAACGAGAGGGTAGAAGAGATGTTCGATGGAATGAAAGAAAGAAAGCAAGGATTTTTATCTTGCAAGATTTTAACAAAGGAGAAAGTTACGAGTAAAAGTGAAAATATTGAAAGTCACTTTTCCTTTTTTACATGGTGTGTTTTAAAGGTTGTGATGCTTGTGTTAAAATTTAACGATTCATATATGGTAAAACGAAAGCCACCGGCTATTGAGAAATCAAGGTATCAAAATGATTACAAGTGGCCATTTAAGAAACAGAACGACGTGACATCTTACCATGTCCGTCAACATTTAATGTTTTGCCTATTAGAGAAAGAAAATTTTCATTTCATCTCTAAAGGGCTAAAAGGGTGGCATGTGTTGGCATTTCAAAAATTCAAGTTCATACATCGATCAAGTATGACATCTTATGGTAAAAAAGTAAAGCATAAATGGAACGGTGTGTTTGGTTCATTTTGTACTATAACCGATCAAGTTTCGATGAAATTAAGATTTAAGTAAAATGATGCATTTTGGCCTATTATCGACCGGTTTCGACGAAAATGATATGCATAAAGAAAACAAAGGGATAGTTACAAAATAACTATTTGCGCTTAAATTTAAATAAAAGGCAAGGTTCAATCAAGAGTTATTTGGGGAAGGGGGACCAACAAAATCGAAAACTATCAACAACACAAGATTTTTTATACAAATTTATTCAATTTTCTTAATTTACCTTGTAACGCTTAGTTTCTATTTTCCTACAAGTAGTTCGATAGTTTTTAAGCTGTCTTTAGTAATTTTTCATGTTTGTAACTTAGGAAGCTTTGATTTGTAAGAATGATATCGAATATCTCGATAGCTAATGATGTAAGTGTCATATTTTTCAATATATGATATTTATATTCTTTTTAATGAATTTTATTTATTTCGATTGATAATTTTTTTTTTTACTTTATTACTCTTTCTTTAAATTGAGTACTCACGAAAAGTCTTAGTGGCTTGCTAAACGAAACCGAAACCGTATAATATTTCATCGCGAAGGATTTAATCATAAATTAAAGCGTCGATATACTTTGCTTTAAGATTAAATTTGACGAACAACAATTAATTAATTAATTAATTAAAATTTTATTTTGGTTCTGCAGATCAATATAGCATATTTGACCTAATTGATTAGTGAATGCAGTGCTTGTGGAATCTAATTAATTGTATGCTTTGATAGCTTATTAACAAGGATTCAAATCCTAGCGCAGCTCAGCCTCCACAATTCTGCCACATGGCCAATTACGGAAAACAACCATATTTTTTCATGGAAGTGACCTTGCTTACTGATACGATGATTAGTGGTTTAAAATATATAACTCATTCTTTAGGAGGGAAGATGGCCGTCACAAATAATGCATACAGTATTGGAAAGGGGAAGAAGGTAATTAATTTGGAGCGAACAAGGTCTGTTGGTAGATATCATGATTGCCGTAGTATTGCTCAATAAACTCCTATTTGTTCTCCAGGTCATGGATCCTACTTAGAATCAGAAGAGGACTCATCAAGCGAAGAAGAAATTGATGCTATGATCCTGCTTGATATATTGCTTTTTATTCCATTTTTAGTTAGTTTTTATTCTTTAGTTTCGGCTCTCTTCTGGTCACATGAGGAAGACTTTCAACATTTTATTTCATCTTTACTCAGAAAAAGATAGTATTTTATTGAGCTCATATGATAACATCACACCATGACTGGGAAAAATAGAGTAATGGATACCCAAACTAGACAGTTTAGAACTAAGGAGGCTAGTTGTTTGTTCCATGTTCTACGAGAATTCTGAAATATATAATGATGTGATAATCAACTCTACAGAACACATTAAATGGTTATCTTATGGTTATGGAGCTCATCTTAGCGAGGCATGTGTTAAATATAATAAAACTATCGATTTTATTTTGGAAACGTTTTGAACGACAAACTTCTATACGAATGATTTGCCAAGTTTTCTATTGTTTGGATCGATAATGTTCCAAACTTGTCAACGTGATCTTATTATCAAATGATAGTGCGAATTGTGTTTAAGTTGACTTACATTCTTTAACGATCCTTTACTTGGGTTACATGCATGTGCATTATGCATGTGTATTGGTTTCTATTCTGCTTTATCTATCCCACAACCAGATGTTCTTTTCTTTACAATCTCTCCATGCAAGAATGGTGCAGCATCATATGGATTACAACACTGAGGCCATGTGTAAACCTGATTTCACAGTGACAATACTAATGAGATGCCTGTCTAATTAAAAATAGCAAGTGGACTTTGTTAACTAGATAATGACCTGAAATGTCCATCGCTTCCTCTCTTGCATTTCAACACAACGAAATCCAGAAGAAGAAGTCCAGCAATCTCCCTAAATCGTCAGGAAAGATTATCCATATGCAAGATAGTTATGTTATCAAAACAGACAAAAATATTAAGCAACCAGTCAATGAATTAACTATCAAAAAAAGTTACTAATGTTCAAATTGTCTTGGAGCATATTTCTTCATTTGATTATTTATCCTCTCCTACAACTCCTTCATTTCGGAGGCTGACCTTGGATTAACCTAAATTTTTTTTCCCATTCCCATGGATTTAATTTTCAGAGAGCCTACATATACCAATCTAAGCTACACAACTCTTTCATGAAAATATATTCTGCCAAACACAAGGGAAGTAAATGATAACACCGTAAATTTGAATGTCAAAAACACCTTATTTCTAACAAAATCTAAGGTTAATGACTGCTAAAACAAATAAAACCCACAATTTTAGTGTCAACACCCATCTCATTTCAAACATAATCTAACGTTAGTTAATAGAACAACCAAAACCCACAATTTGAGTGTCAAAACCCAAGCCATTTCTGACATAAATCTAATGGTAGTAACGATTATCCATAGCCAACATCAAACAAAGCCCATCAAATCGAACCAAAAAACAAACACTCCATAGTTTCTTTCAGTTTTCCCATAACCAAACAGAAAATAAAGAAAGCCAGAAAAACCCGAGAGTGAGGACAGTAAATGCATCCTGATACTGAGAAGAAAAGTTTTTCTATTAAATTACCATCTTTCTAACATTGTCACTGTCGTGTAGAACATTCTGGATTTGATTGGATTAGATGGTTTCAAGAGCATCATCGATCTTATCCATAGGCATCTTGGTGCAGGTGAGATGCATCATAGTTTCGACACTGATAATGTTCTGCATCTTGCTGGAGATGTCTAATGTTAGATATGCTGGAAAACGCTAGCTCCCCAAGTGATGTGGCAGAAAGAAGGATTGTGAGCCACCAATCTGTACATTCTCTTGAACATGTTGTTCGCCCCATCTTCTGTAGAGACTTCGAAGGAGAAAACAACCTTATTGATGTTATCTCCTTCTCCTACACCGACCCTAATCTTATCCATCCTGATTATTTTTCTATCTATGCTCTCTCCCTCTCACTTGTCAACGAGGGAGAGGGAGAGAGACAACCGTCTTTAGCTAATATGAGCTTAGGGTTCGTTAGCTATAACCACACCAACAGCAAGAGAAGAATGTTTTTTGAGTGCGAAATACAATAGGAGATATGTTTTTGGGAAAATTTTGAAACTTCCCTCCTCTTCTCTGTCTGACAGGTTAATAAAGCAAGCTATATGAGCTGGGCTGGGTTAAGCTCATGAACTAAAGTTCAGCTTACACCAAAAATAGGCTCATTGAACAATCTGATTGTAAAATGCATGGGCCTAAAAGACATTATACACACAAATGGTACAAAAGACCCATCTTTAGCTCTATATTTTTTTATTTTTGCATGCGGGTTCTGTAGTTAATAAAGCAAGCTATATGGGCTCGGTTGGGTTAAGCTCATGAAATGAAGTTCAGCTTACAGGAAAAATGGGCTCATTGATAATCTGATGGTAAAATAAATGGGCCTAAAAGACATTATATACACAAATGGTACGAAAGACCCATCTGTAGCTTTTTTTTTTTTTTGGCCCTTTTTGCATGCGGGTTCTGTAGTTAACAAAGCAAACTATATGGGCTGAGCTGGGTTAAGCTCGTGAAAAGAAGTTCAGCTTACACGAACAATGGGCTCATCGAATAATCTGATGGTAAATTGAATGGGCCTAAAGGACATTATATACACAGCTGGTACGAAAGACCCATCTTTAGCTTTATATTTTATTCTTTTTGCATGCGGGTTCTATAGTCAATAAAGCAAGCTATATGGCCTGGGCTGGGTTAAGCTCGTGAAATAAAGTTCAACTTACCTTAAAAATGGGCTCATCGAAAAATCTGATGGTAAAATGAATGGGCCTATAAGACATTATATAAACAACTGGTACGAAAGACCCATCTTTTTGCATGTCAGGTCTTCAAGGGTCAGGCGTTCTTGGATCAGGGGTCCTCGAGTTGGGCATTCTTGGGTCAGGCATTCTCGAGTAAGGACTCATCGAGTGAGCGATTTCATGATTTCTATGGAGAGCATGTGTGAAAGAGACGTACACAGTTAGTGTTGATGTATTTTAACGAAATAGCCTATGATTACATATGAGGATTATTACAATGGATAAGAAGCAAGTATATGTTACTATAAGAGTGAAATTCAAAGTTAAACATTTTATTATATTAGGAATGCTAAAAGTATTAGTGTCGAAGTAAAACATTACTGAAATTATAGGGATAAGAACATACTTTACGCCACAAATAAATACATCCGTTCCTCGCTCGAGCTCAACAGTACAGGTGAATCATAGGGGTACAGATCCAAATTTACTATTCCATCTGTCTTGCTCTCTCATCATCTTCTTACTCTCTGAAGTCTTAACAAAATTCTGATAAGTTGGTGAATTAGTGGAGAAACAAGTGAAGAAAAGGCGCTTGGATTGAATTGGCATATAAATGAGTTTTTTTTTTTTAATTCATACAAATTCTCTTGTTGTTTTATTTTTGCATTTGATTCAACACCCAATTTTTTATTTTTGTCTTAAAATCAATTATTATTATTGTTTGAACTAAGAGACTATCATTTGATATTTGATTTGATTGCAATTGATAGATACCATTGGACTGGAACAAATTGGATTCGGAAGTAGAAAAGAAGGGAATGGAGGAGGTGGATATTCAGATGATGAGAGTGCAAAGCCTATCTGAGGCGGGCATAGCAGAGGTGCCCACCCAATATATCCAGCCCCCTCAGAACCGACCGCCCGTTAATGATCACCTCAAATTAATAGATAATAATGTCCCGCTGATTGATGTCTTTGGATTCGAGGATTCAGAGCACAGAGATTCGGTTCGTAAACTAATCGGTGATGCCTGCAGTCAATGGGGAGCCTTCCACATCACCAATCATGGAGTTCCAATTGAATTATTGGACCAGGTTAGGAGTGTAGGCTTATCCTTCTTCAAAGATTGCCCGGTTGAAGAAAAGCTCAAGTATGCCTGCGATCCCAGTTCTCCTGCATCTCAGGGTTATGGCTCTAAAATGCTGCGCCCTGAAGCTGAAGCTGAAACTTCAACTGTTTTGGACTGGAGGGACTACTTTGATCACCATACCCTACCACTCTCTCGCCGCGACCCTTCTCGCTGGCCTCACTTCCCTTCAAATTACAGGCAAGTTGTTGCCCATTATAGTGATAAGCTCAAAATGGTCGCACAGAAGCTGTTGGGCCTCATATCAGAGTCTCTGGGACTGCCAACTTCTTGCATTGAGGATGCTGTTGGGGAATTCTATCAAAATATTACTATCAGCTACTACCCTGCTTGTCCTCAACCGCACCTTACGCTGGGTCTTCAGTCTCATTCTGATATGGGTGCCATTACACTTCTCATCCAAGACCATGTTGGGGGTCTTCAGCTTTTCAAAGACTCTCAGTGGATTACTGTCCCTCCTCAATCCCATGCCATTCTTGTTCTTTTGGCTGACCAAATTGAGGTAATTGAACCATTACCGATCCTTTCATTTCCTGCTATTAACTTGCTTGTTTCGTTTTATTTTGTCGGCTAAAGTACAGTTTTTTCTTCAATTTTCCCCCTTGTTTTTTTAAAACAAACTTGGACAGTAATGTGATGGACCGTAGTCAGTTCAATTGACATTCTCATTTCTCCTAATGACCCCTAACTATTTCATTAGTCAGTTCAATTGACATTCGCAATCAAGAGGAAAACTGACAGAATGTTGATTCTCATGTCTCATGCAAGTTACCATGTTACGATCTATTCGCAATCTCATATGGGTTCCTTGTGAAATTTTGAACATGTCCTCATGAAGTCTCCATTAACACGTTGCCACATTCTTAGCCTGCGACAAACGGTCAAAACCAATACTTGCTGTATGAATTACCTTTTATTTCAGAAGAAAACCTTTCTGCCGGTTGAATAGTTATAGTTCTTTCCTCTGTAATAGTTGGATTTTGAAAGCCCAAAGCAATGGCTGCTTTCACCCATTTGAACTCTATCAGTTTATCCTCTATCAAATCTATATCAATTTTAATTCTCCATCCATATTTTTAGTCCTGTTTTTGCTTTCGATGAACTGCTATTTGATTCAAAAAGTCTAAGGTGAAACCCTTTGCCTGTAGATTATAACTAACGGGAAGTATCGGAGCGCTCAACATCGAGCTATTACGAATTCTAGCAGTCCACGGCTCTCGGTTGCCACATTTCATGACCCTGCCAAGAGGGTGAAAATATCCCCTGCTCTGGAGCTAATTAGCAACTCATCCCCTCCCAAGTACCGCGAAGTTTACTATGGAGACTATGTGTCATCATGGTATACCAAAGGCCCAGAAGGGAAACGGAACATCGATGCACTCATCAATTGTTAGATCTTCCCATTTTCTGTTGACCTTTTGATGGACTTTTTTGGTTGAAACCTTGCACCGAGTGAATGAATGCACTGTTTTCTTGTTGAAAATTTGTGTGCACGATATCATTCTTTTGTTGAGCTGGTATAAGGGCTTAGAAAAGGAATTTGTTGGGACAAGAATCTGTATTTCCATTTAATCTTTCAGGAATTCTAATCTAGAACAGAGAGCATTCCATGGAAAATATAATTTATTCTGTAAGAGGAAAAGTTTAATGAAAAAAAAATTATAAATGCCTTCAAGGCATTGCTGATTTTGCTGCCTTTGGAAGTTGAAACCTAACGAATACAGTAATAATTCCACGCCCATCATATCTTTTGTTCTTCCCTTTACATTTTGCATGTTTCAAAATTGCATTAGAATTACAAAATAGGTAAACTCACAACATGATGCAAATTTTGTTAAAAAGATGTTTTACGGAGAAGAAAATATCGATAAGCCCTCTTGTTCAGGAACAAGAGTATATTAATAGATCAGAACAGCAAGCTGTCAGCCATGCAATAGCAATTAGCATGTACTAGGCACCTTTTGAATTAGCAAATAGACCAAGTTCAAAATACAGTACACTGGGTCAGTCAACTGAACACATTGGTTATATATACGAGCCGTGAACTATTTGCACAAAAATATCACTAATGATATACGAACAAAATGCTGCGGAAGCAATAAAACAGATCATTAGAGTTCTGCAAGAATGGCAGGGATGTAATGAGATAACTCTGCAGTGAGGGATTGAAATCCATTCACAAGCTGCGTGTGGAAGTCTTGGTCTTCCTCTCCAATCAATCTAAAGTGTACCCGAATGGCACGCTTGCAAACGGCCATAAATTCAAGCAGTGCAGCAATGAGTTGCTGCAGTTCTTGTGAACGCAACCTTGTAGCAGGCTCACCCGACAGGAATGCTGTGCAGACACTCAAAACTCCACTGTTTACCTGTAACAATGCAGTGAGCCATCAGACAATAAAATTTTGCATGGCCATGACAACCAATGTTAGAAAAACATGATCTACAACAAATGATTTTGACGGAGCATCTACATATGTATCAATTTTGAAGGGAAAAGCATATAGGAACATCATGAACAAATCCAAAAAGCAACTTACTTGAACTGCAACACTGCCTTGGAGAATTCTCTGCAAACTTTGGAGACGCGGAAGTTGATCACCTTCAGAACTGCGGGGCTCCTCAAGCTCATTTCGTAACGCAGCTGTGCGAGTTTCAATCATTCCAATTGCATTCTCGACTGGTGAGAACTCAAGAGATTCAGATTTTATTACCAAAAGCCTGTTCACGAGAGCAGGGAATGAGCCTTCAGTCTGAAGAACAGACCTCCTCTTCCATTGGTCTTCCAATCCACCTTGGGTTTTACCATTTTTTGTAAATGGAGTGTCAAACAAGAAGCGGTCAAAGACACGTGCACGGACAGCCCCCGTTGAAAGAGAAAAGATCCTTTCCCGTCTGCTTCCTAAATCTTCATCTTCCATGACCGGATCAACAGCAGTTATCTGCAGGTAGCAGACTCCAGGCTGCAGCTCATCTGCCTTCACTTGCCTAGAATCTGGGATAATATGCAGTGTGTGATTGCCATCCATCTTAGACTCATAAATATGACTAAGTTTCTCCATTATGTCACCTAGCCGTACATCTCGGGGCTCTCGGTATACATATTCCTTCCTATCTAATTTCCCAAATCTTTCACCATAGAATCCCACCCTATAATATGTGGCATCAGTGAATGGAATTGGGCTTGATTCCTGCTCCATAATTGATTCATAGATATTAGTAAGCAATGTGTGACATTTAGCCAGTTGCCCATATGCCCTCCTGCTTTTATAAACTGGGATTACAAGTTCCAGAATGCTTGCACAGAAATGAAAAAGCTCAGCTTGAGAGAAAAGCTTATTCGCAAGCTGTAGATATTTTACAGCAGAGTCTACTGTTAGCTTTGAAGCACCATACCCCTCTACCTCAGCTGCAGATGCCTCAGAAGTGATCTCACTGTTGACCATTGGGCAGATTTTACGTAAGGCAGTTACATGATCTTTGCTCCAAACACCATCATTTCTAGCCACAAGAGCCTATGATGATTAAAGAAAATTTATTAGTTAAAAATGGAAAACATGTAGGCCATCACTCCTTCATCACAAACTCATCTTTCCAGTTGTCCACAACACACATAGAAAATTCTATCATCACCTACATTAATGCCAATCATTGAAGAATCTTGCATCCAATTATATGATTCCATTTAGTTTAAAAACAAAACAGTTCGACTAACTGGGTAAATGGAAATAGACAAGAATCATACAATTCAGTTAGGCTCAAATTGTTGAATTGCATGATTCAATCCAACTAAAAAATAAATAACAATAAAAAATTTATGAAATTGATGGCTTTAGAGGATTTATGCTTACTGCAAACTTATTTCTCATGCCTTGAATCCAGAGATCACAAGAGTTAACACCACATAAACCAATCATACCATCATTACCACCTGTGACAATCAGACAAATTCTTTTTGGTTGGGAGGGTTCTCTGTCTTCTTATTTTATTGAAACCAATGGAAAGCCTATCCCCACAGAACGAGAAAAGAGAAACAGTCCTTGATTCCTAATTTAACTTCAACACTTTAATTCAATGAAGCCTTGAAAAGATAAAAGTGCAATGCAGAGTGCGTGAATTGAACAAGAGTAAGAAACACATTTCTATGATAAAATTACAGTTGATAAGAAAGCAGGTCAAAGTCTATCAGGGTTTTAACAAGAAAGTTGTCAGCAAGGAGATTTGAACAAATGAACCTGCATTTAAGACATTATGATAAAGTTCATATAAGTATGAAGTTAATCATGTCACTTAATAGGTTTAGGAATGATATTTTCTTCAGCATACAACTACCTAATTCATGTTCAGGTTTTCTTCTTTTATTATACCCAATTGGTCTCTAATCTGACGGGTCAGAATTCAATTCATACGCCATAAAAAGACCTTTCCAAGTGACAATTCAAATCTCAATTTAACTGCCCCAGTAAGTAATAACAGTCTGTTCTACAGAACACCAAAGAAAGAAAATTATGATCAGTTAAAGAAAATTACACCAAAATATAAATATTTCTCACTCAAACTTTCAGTTGCTGGAAAAATTCTCATTAGCTGAATTGGCTTCCCTTAATAGCAACTATTGTGTGGCTATGGATTTAGAACAATAAGGAAGCATTTTGCTTTCAGGTACACTTCTGACAAACTCTTAACATTTTAAAGAGCAATCTAACAATTTTCAACTTCTAGCTGACGACAACTCTTTCAACAGAAAACAATGTAGAAAAAATGTAAAAGATGCAAAAGATAAATTCAGAATATGACAGAGAAACAGCACATTAAGTCATTTGCAAGATTTGGATGCTGCCAAATTAGCAGATATTTACGATGACATCTCAGTTACATCATCTGTGGTGTACAGCACAAGCAAAGAATAATCTAATTAACTCATTTAGTTGCAACCACACACATTAGTTACTTACCTGCATTACAACACCAGCAACAGCCACAGCACACTGTGCAGCTTCAGCCCAAGACTGCATTTCCTGATGTGCATCACATAAATGCAGTAACCACATTATGTGAAGATCAGGAACAGGAGCAAATGCCATTGCTAGTTTATAGAAGCTCTCAGCAGCCGCATATCTATCCATTGTCATCATAGAACCCTGTTAAGAAAGTGTGGCACAGATTGTATTGTCAGAGCAGCAGCACTTAGTCATCTAGATGCATGCACTAATGCTGAACAAGCAGGGTTGAGGACAGGGTAAACTCATCCCAATTCATTGGGAAAACAACCAGAGAGTCCAGAGACAATCATAGAAATACCATTTCCTAATTCAGGAAAACAACTTAAGCAAAAATGTGCTAAGGGTTACTATATGGGGGATTGGAAGGAAAGCAATGCCACCACTGCCTACTTATATGCCCAATCCCAGCAACCCGTGCTTGCTCCAGAGTCCAGAGTCCAGACTCTGTTACCCAAATAACCAGTGTCGAAATCAAAAGCTGATGCAAAGATTATTAACTTACCAAGAGAGCATGTTCGAGGCTAGCATCAAGGGCCAGGATTAAGCTGTCAGAGAGAGATTTCACCTCACACCAGGACCACCTATTCTCTGCCAACTTTTCTGGAACTGCCACTACAGCACTTTCAGGAAGTCCACATTCCTTTAGTAGGTCAGGGCTCTTCAATTCATCTGCCATTTCCTCCAAAGACTTGCGAAGACGCCGTGCTTCACCACTCTCTTCCAGTGTTCCATCAGACTTCATCTGAGTCACTTGCACATCCGACATCAGCTCTGACAGCGTGATAGTCAGCATGACCCTCAACCTTGCTGTTTGCATGAAGTAGTAAAAAGAGCTCTACAAAAACAGAAGATAGACGATAACTGATGTTATAAGTTTATAAGTTGAAAATTACAACATAAGCAACAAACCTGAGCATGTAAAGACCATACCCTCACTAGTATCTGGAGGCCAACGACAGCTCTTTTCCTGATGCTTTCATTCCTGAAAACTGCAAGCCGAAGAAGATGGAAAGCAACCTGCTTTAAGAAGCGATCATTCTCCCTAGCCATTAATGTCGCCCCATGAAGATCAAACACACCATTGAAGACAGGAAATAGAGCTTTCCAGAAACCCAATGGTTGATTTCGAGAGAAGAAGCTCATAAATATGGCTGTTATGCAATCAAGTTTTCCATAATCAGTAGCAATGCTATGGGATGCTGCCATCATAGAAAACTTTTCGGTTATTTCCAGAACCTGAAGACTCACAGCAGCACTCAAGTTTTCTTCCCAGAGCTCCTGAAGTAAATGCCATAGCTATCAGCTGCCTAAATTATTGGTCATATACAGAGATATAATATTTTGAAAAAAATAGGGTCCATTGCAGTATGAGAACAAATAAATGAATAAACATG